AAGAGAAGAAAGAAGAAAAAGTGATAGACACAGCACTAAATTGATTCTGCACTCATTATTGGCATCCCTAGAACATTTCACATAGCCCATAGCCACAACAGCACATTATGTTTTGAGTTGTCAGCTATGCCCCATAATTAAAGGCTGTCAGTGTTATTACAAATGTCACTACAGAGTTTAAGTGTAAACAGCAGTAAAACTAATGCCTTAGCCAAGAGCTTACTTCCTCTAGTACTCCCTAAAATTCACCTATTTAAGAAACAATAATATAAAATATGCTTCACTTACTCATATAGCTTCTACCACACCCTCAAAATCATTTAGAAACATCTGACAAAGCTAAAACCACCATCAATCTATTCTAATGTGTCTCTGATTTATAAAAGCATTCAAAGGATTGAAAGGTCTTATTTGGGGGACATCCTCTTACAGTGAAATGTTTCCAACCCTCTAGACCTAGCAAAAGTAAATAACTCCATCTTAAAATCTCTGTCTGGGAAAAGGAGAGAAATTCCAAGCTTAATGCTAAATGATGTTGTTTTTTCAAGTTTAAGTTAGACCTTTAAAACAAAACAAAACCCTAAATTAAATCCTGCAATAAATCCCAAATGTACCATTATCTTCTTTTACAAACTAGTTTGAAGTTTTTGTTTTTTTGTTTTTTAAGACAGAGTCTCACTTTGTCACCCTCAGTAGAGTGCCATGGTATCATATTTCATTTCACAGCAACCTCAAACTCTTGGGCACAAGTGATCCTTTTGCCCTCAACCTTCCAAGTAGCTGATCATAGTAGTAAGTGGTTGAGAAGGCAGTTCATACAAAAAGAATTAATGTCCTGTTGGTAAGATAGTCATATCTGATCCATAAAGTTTACTCATCTCTATTTTAGTAAAACACAAAAACTGAATAGCCAAATACTGTTTTTAAAAATGTATTTTAATATGGCATATTAATAATTTACCTGCATCCCCATTTTTAAATGACTTTATGGTTTTCTGGCTGGGAATCACTAGGGGTAAACGTAAACATGTATAAAATACAGCCATGTGTTTAAAAAAAGAAATTAAGCTTAATACAAACTCATTTCCCTGTATTGTATGTTTTCCACTGGCTACATGAGAAATCAGTTTGTTTTGATAGATGGCAGATTGAGAAAATGGCTTTTGATTGACCAGTCTGTTTGAGTCAGTAATGTTGGTAAACACCTTTGTGAAATACAAATGTATTTAAAAACTTGAACTAGGCCAGGCGTGGTGGCTCATGCTTGTAATCCTAGCACTCTAGGAGGCCAAGGCTGGTGGATTGCTTGAGTTCAGGAATTAGAGACCAGGCTGTAGTCCCAGGCTGTAGTCCCAGCTACTTGGAAGGTTGAGGGCAAAAGGATCACTTGTGCCCAAGAGTTTGAGGCTGGGACTACAGCCTGGTCTCTAATTCCTGAACTCAAGCAATCCACCAGCCTTGGCCTCCTAGAGTGGTAGGATTACAAGCATGAGCCACCACGCCTGGCCTAGTTCAAGTTTTTAAATACATTTGTATTTCACAAAGGTGTTTACCAACATTACTGACTCAAACAGACTGGTCAATCAAAAGCCATTTTCTCACTCTGCCATCTGTCAAAACAAACTGATAGGTTTATATATACCTATATATACACCAGGAATGGTGGCTCACACCTGTAATCACAGCACTCTGGAAGCGCAAAGTGGGAGGATTCCTTGAGTTCAGGAGTTTGAGAGCACCCTGAATAAGAGTGAGAACCCAGTCTCTACTAAAAATAGAAAAAATTAGCCAGGCATTGTGGTGGGCACCTATAGTCTCATTTACTCAGGAGGCTGAGGTAGGAAGATCTCATTTACTCAGGAGGCTGAGGTAGGAGTTTGAGGTTGCTATGAGCTAGGCTGAGGCCCTGACACTCTAGCCTGGGGAAAAGACCGAGACTCCAGGTAGCACCTCTGGCTCAGTGGGTAGGGCTCCAGTCTCATATACTGAGGGCAGTGGGTTCAAACCTGGCCCCAGTCAAACTGCAACAAAAAAATAGCCAGGCGTTGAGGCAGGAGAATCGCCTAAGTCCAGAAGTTGGAGGTTGCTATAAGCTGTGACGCCACAGCACTCTACTGAGGGCAATAAAGTGAGACTCTGTCTCTATAAAAAAAAAAAAAAAAGTGAGACTCCTTGGAGTGGGGGGGAGACTACAAAAGTGTCACTCAATAAGAATTAAGCACATTACCTTGAACCATAGCTTCCTTATTACCTACTGGTTTCCCACTTAAAAAACTCCAGTTCTTTTCCTCCTGCATTGGCTTCCCTTCCTTCTTATAAGGAAACAGCATATTTTGATACTAAGGAGGATTTAACTTAAAATAATTACAATCACTATTGAGTTCAAAATAATAAAAGCTTCTCAGAAATCTACCAAAAAGTGCCAGAAATTATGCTGATTCCTCTTGGAGCAACATGTCTTCTCCCTCACCTCTCAACTTTTTATTTCCTTTTATTTATATCCACAAAATATTAAGTAACTAATTTTGTACTTGCAGAGTAGCAGAGAGTATTTCCACATGGACTTAAAAAATATCTGATGGAAATTACTTCCAGCTATATTCAAACTAATAATCTAGAAACAAAAGCTAAATGTTATATTAATTTAAAAAATTAAAAAATGTAAATTTCCATTTTCTTAAAATGTATACATTAAATTTTGCTTTTATTTGTTGAAAACATTCTGTATTTATAGGCTTTAAGGCACAAGTGAACAAAACTCCCCATGTATTAATCCAAAAGAATTTTAAAAGACTATTATCAATAATGTATCTTCTACAAGTTTAAAAAGCAAAATAACTAGCACCAAGTTTTATAAATATCTGTTTAAAAGATACAATTTGTTTGTAGTAAAAAAATTTAAAACACTACACACTCACTAGAACGTGGATTCCTTCTTTTTCAACTGGAGCTTTATCATATGTAGCATCACAAACTCGAACCAAAGTTGTCACTCCATACTTCTTAAGTTCCTTTAAAGAAAAAAATATATAAGGGAACTACTTTTGAAACCTCCAACCAGAACTTTAGAAATATGATATTATAAACTGAAACAATGTGATTATCATCTGTAAACGAAGATCAAAATCATTCTCCTTATAAGGTAACATATATAATAGACATTCATACACTCTCAGTGGGAGAGTAAATATGATTCACCTTTCTACGGGGCAATTTGGTAGCATAACACAAAAACAAGTTCACATAGGCCTGGCTTGTGCCCACAATCCCAGCACTTTGGGAGGCTGAGGCAGGAAGACTGAGAGATCAGAAAGTTCTAGGCTGCAGTGAGATGATCCAGCCACTGCACTCCAGCCTGGCTGACAGGGCAAGACTTGTCTATTAAAAAAAAAGAAAATTCACATATACTTTGACACAGAAATTCTATTTCTGAAAATTTATACAAAGGAAATAATTAAAGATGTACACAAAGATTTATGTAGTAGCATATTCATCACAAACTGTTTAAATGGTAAAAAAGTAGAAACTAAATAATACAAAAACAAGAGAATGGTTAAAGGAAGTATGGTACATCCATATAGTGAATACTATGACAGCTATAGAAATTATTGATATGGGGTAAGATTTTTTAAAATATAAAGTTTGATCCTATCTATATATTTATAAATACACACTGATATGTGGAGAGAAAAGTATCTAGAAACCAGATAATTAACTTTTTCTTTTTTTTTGAGACGGAGCCTCAAGCTGTCCCCCCTGGGTAGAGTGCCGTGGCATCACAGCTCACAGCAACCTCCAACACCTGGGCTCAAGCCAGTCTCTTGCATCTGCCTCCCAAATAAGCTGGGACCACAGGTGCCCACCACAACACCCGGCTATTTTTTGGTTGCAGCCATCAGTGTTGTTTGGTAGGCTGGGGCTGAATTTGAACGTGCCACCTTAGGTGTATGTGGCTGGCGCCTTAGCCACTTGAGCCATAGGCACTAAGTCAACAATTAAATATTTTTAAATTGTCTTTTTGCTTATCTATATCTTCTGATTTTTATGTAATGAACACTTATTTAAGTGAAACTTCTCTTCAAAAAAAAAAAAAAACAATTAAAACTCTTCCTACATTAACTGCTTTTCTTCAAGGAATCACCAATATCTTTTTATGGCTGCTGGAGAACAGTGGCCTGTGCCATTTTTATAGTCTATGGCCAAGGTATCTACAAGATCAAGACAGTATTATGTAATACAGCCAGGCTTAAAGGTGACTCAACAACCAGAGGACATACAGGCCTAGAATCAACTTATATGCTGAGTACAAAGTTAAGAAGCTCAGGGAATTACAAGTATACAAAATAAGTAGGAACAGTGATATCCTATAAGTCAGGAGGCCAGTTCACTGTCCCTCAGACTGTTGGAAGGCCAGACTGCGGGTCCCGGGACGAGTCAGCTGCTAAGTAGGACAGGCAGCAGCAGCAAAAACACCCGGCGGACCAGATAAATGTCCTAGGCAGGCTGTATGTGGCCTGCAGGCTGTAGTTTGAGGACACCTGCTATAAGTAGTGCCCATCATTTGGTGATCTAAAAAGTAAAGTTATTTTCAGCTCAGCACCTGTAGCTCAGCAGCTAGGATCCCAGCCACATACACTGGAGTTGGTGGGTTTAAACCTAGCCTAAGCCTGCTAAACAACAATGACAACTACAACCAAAAAATAGCTAGGCATTGTGATGGCTGCCTGTGGTCCCAACTGCTTGGGAGGTTGAGGCAAGAGAATCACTTAAGCCCAAGAGTTTGAGGTTTGCTGTGAGCTGTGATGCCACAGCAGTTTACCAAGGGCAACACAGACTCCATCTCAAAAAAAAAAAAGTAAAGTTATTTTAATTGCCAAAGTCCCATTAAAACTCTACATTAGCCCTTCTTTGAAAGACTGTGAAAGAATCTTTTATGGTAGATATTTGTGACTTTAAGTTAAACTTCTTTTGGCTTTAGCTCTGCCATGTATAAAATGTGAATCCCTAGGAGTTTTATCTAGTTCTCTAAGTCTACTCTATAAACACAACAACAGAAATCACATTAAAACTGAACAATGATTAAAAAGCTTACATTCAAATGTGTGCTCAATGAAGTACAAACTATCAATATTACAAAAAATACAAGCTAGGCACAGTGGCATATGCCTGTAATCCCAGCACTTTGGGAGGCTAAGCTAAGAGGACTGCTTGAGGCTCCCTTGCCAGGAAGACCTCATCTCTATAAAAACTGAAAATAATAGCTGGGGGTGGTAGTATGAGTCTATAGTCCCAGCTACTCAGGAGGCTGCAGCAAGGGAAAAAAAAAATATATATATATGTATATATATATCTAAATAAAAATGCTACCTACACCACCTTTCCTTCCCCCCAGTTTCTGGACTATTATAGATAACAATTACTATTAACTAGTTTGGGGGTGGCTTTTCATCAAAGGTGGTTAGAACAGTCTTAAGTACAACATGGGTTTTAGTGTCAGAGACCTAGGTAAGCAAAGCAGTTCTACTATATACTCTGTGCCATTAGTTAAATTACTAAATAGCTCTGAACCTGTTTCCTCATCTGTAAGTGGGAAATAACAATATGTATATCTCATCAAGTTTTTATATTTGTGAACTTAAACACAAACACTGCTTACTACATAAGGCATACACATTACATGCTCACTGTAATGCTACTAGGTACATGCTGTGTTTAATGTTAATTATTTTTATTATAGAAATTATGACAAAAGAACCATTAATAAACATAGAAAAAACACAGGAAAAAAACACAGTACTAGATAGTCTCCACAGTTCCCTCAAGTTCCATAAATGTTCTTTCAAAAAACTGTTGTAACTAATTCAACAAAAACCAGACTGGTAATGGTCATCTATATATTCCAACTATAGAAATAAATGGCTCTGTGGTAATAAGTTTTTGGGCTGTTCTGGTCTTTTTTTTTTTTGAGACAGAGTCTCACTTTGCAGCCCTTGGTAGAGTGCTATGGCGTCATAGCTCACAGCAACCTCAAACTCTCAGG